AAATCTCATAAAGTATTATCAGAATTCCAAGTGGCTAATGTGCCTTGAACCAATTATTCATTGTGACAATACCGATGAAATCACAAACACACAAGTGTTATGCTTTTCACTAGTTCTTCTAACTCACTTAGTGCTAATATTGCCTTGCACTAATCCTATTTCATTGAACTTTTAAAGAGAGAAAACTCCAACTCGCTAATGAGGCGACACCACCTCGAAGTTCACATAGGTGAAGTTCTTCCAGTATGTTTATTACTTTTATAGATACTTGTACTCCGTACTGAACTTCATTAAGAGTTTATTTTAACCCATCCCTCTAACTGTAACAACCAACACTATTTTCAAAAGATAATATTAGATATATTTAATAGTGTTGAATCCATCCACTTATCGAATAACTTGTTGTTTCCTCTTGAACCTCTATATACTAGTTTAGTATATTTTGGTGAGGTTGCTGTTATTGGTGGATCTATTTGAGGAGTTTTAATCCCATTTTACTTGATGTTGATCTCACTAACTCTTTTGTGAGAGGTTTCGTAAATGGAGCAGCTAAGTTCTCACCAGACTTAACAAATGTAAGAGAAATTACTCCACGTTTGATTAATTTCCTTACATACTCGTGTCTTAGACTCATGTGTCTAGACTTTTCATTGTATATTTCGTTATATGCTCGAGCTAGGGTGGCTTGACTATCACACAAGATAAGTATAGAAGAAATATCATTTATATCTAAAGGTATTTCATATAATAAATCTTTTAGCCCAGCTTCTTTTCCGGTTTCAGCCAATGCTACATACTCCAATTCCATGTTTGAATGAGTAATACAAGTTTGTTTCTTAGACTTCCAAGAAATTGCACCACCTCCAAGAGTGAATATCCAACCTGAAGTAGATTTATTCTCTCCCGCACTCGATATCCAACTTGCATCGGTATATCCTTCCAAGATTTTAGGAAATTTCGTATATTGTAGCCCAAGATTTTTTGTTTTCTTTAGGTAACCAAGAACCCTACCGATGGCTTTCCAATGTTCTGAACTTGGATTGCTAATAAATCTACTTAGTTTACTTATAGCAAATGCTACATCAAGTCTTGTAAATTTGTGATGCGTACATAAGACTTCCAATTGCACTTGCGTATTCTATTTGTCCAATTGCTCTACCTTCATTTTTTATCAATTTAATATTTGGATCTATAGGAGTGTTAGCCTCCTTAACATTCAAATGTTTGAATTTGTTTATCACACTCTCAACATAGTGTGATTGGCTTAATGTAAAACCCCCACTATCCCTTTTAACTTTGATGCCAAGGATAGTATCAACTTCTCTAAGATCCTTCATTTTGAAAGTAGAGGATAGAAACAATTTTATTTCTTTGACCCCGTCTATATTATTGCTAATGATAGCACATCATCAACATATAGACATACTAATGTGAGTATATTTTCATTCACTTTCGTGTAGAGACATTTATCTACTGAATTGTGATTAAATCTATTTGACATTATTTTAGAGTCAAATTTCTCATGCCACTTTGTGGGAGCTTGCTTTAGTCTATATAAGGATTTAATTAATTTGCACACTTTATGTTCATTTCTTGGTAGAACAAACCCTTCTGGTTGTTCCATATAGACCTCTTCTTCGAGATCTCCATTTAGGAACATTGTCTTGACGTTCATTTGATAAACATATAGATCATAAATGGATGCTAACGGAAATAAGCTCCTGATCGAGGTTATCTTGGTTACGGGTGCATACGTATCAAAGTAATCAATTTCTTCTCTTTGACGATACCCTTTAGCCACTAATCTAGCTTTGTAGGTATTAAGTGATCCATCGGAATTGCATTTCTTCCTAAATACCCACTTGCAACCAATAGCCTTAGATCTTGCTGGCAAGTCAACTATTTCCCAAGTGTTATTTGAAATAATAGAATTCATTTCGTTGTTTATGGCTTCTTTCCAGAACATGCAATCTCTAGATTGCACAACTTTCTTATAAGTCTTTGGATCACTTTCCACTTGAAGAACAAAGGGAATTGTTCTTACAACATTCTTCCTATCTCCTTCTACTAAGTAAAAAGAAATAAGTTGAGGATCTATTTCATTTGATCCTAAGTTCTTTCTTTTCTAGTTCTTTTACTTCTTCGAGGTTCAATTTCAACATCCTTTATAGATGTCTCTTCTGGTGAGCTTCTAAAGATTGAAATATCCTTATCATTAATTACAGATTTTCTAGCTACCATTACATTCTCGAAGAATTCCGTATCTCTTGATTCTATTATAACATCTGTTTCTAGATTTAATAATCTATAGGCTTTGCTGTTGAGAGCATATCCCACAAAAGCACACTTGATACCTCTAGGACCTAACTTGGTTCTCTTAGGATCCATATTCTTACAATATGCAAGGCACCCCCACACTTTAAAATAACTGATATTTGATTTTATATTTTTCCAAATTTTATATGGAGAAATTTTATTCTTTTTCATAGGAATTCTATTTGTTATATGGCAGGCACTAAGTAAGGCTTCACCCCATAGATTAAAGGGTAATTCAGAATTTAACAACATTGCATTTATCATTTCTAAAAGAGTTTTATCCTTTCTTTTTGCTAATCCATTTTGTTCCGGTGTTCTAGGTGCAGAAGATTGATGTATTATTCCATTTTGTTCACAAAATATGTTAAATTCATTAGAAAAATATTCCCTACCTCTATCACTTCTTAAAGTCTTTAATTTTCTTCCTAATTGATTTTTAACTTCAATCTTATAAGTCTTAAAGGCACTAAAGGTTTCATCCTTATGTTTTAATAAGTACACATAGGTATATCTAGAACAATCATCAATAAAAGTAATAAAATATCTATTACCGCCTCGAGTTAACATTCCATTCAATTCACGTATTTCGGAATGAACAGGTTCAAATAATCTTGTTGTTCTTACTAAGCTGTGAAATGACTTCTTAATCATTTTTGATTTAACACATGTTTCACATTTTTCCCAATTTCACATTGTATTAATCCACATTTAATCATTCTTTTCATAATATTAACTCCTATATGTGCTAATCTACCATGCCATAAATTAATTGAATCAGTAACATACGCAAAAGATTTAACTTTATTTGAATTATCCTCAATAGTACATAGTTTGACCATTCCTTCGGTGGAATAGCCCTTTCCAACAAAGTGCCCATTATGAGTTAATACAAGCTTTCCAGATTCAAAAACAGATTTAATTTCAGGTTTTCCTAAGAGTACACCACTTGCTAAGTTTCTATTCATTTCGGTACATGTAAGACATTTGTTAAAGTAATCTTCTTTCCCGAAGAGAAAATGAGTTCCACATTTCTTTTGCCAATCGCTTTTGATCTTCCTTCATTTCCCATTTATATCTCTTGATTGTCTTCAATGTCATGATAAGTTTTGAAGAGAGACTTATCATAACATACATGAATTTTAGCGCATGTATCGTACCACCAGCCCAGAACTTTGCCTTGGATTGCCTTGATTTCGCTCATCTTGGCGATAATCTCATCAACGGAGTTCAGTTGTTCTTCTTTCTTTTATTGTTTCCTATGTCTACAATCCTTGGCATAGGTCCCGATTTTCCACAAACATAGCAAGGTCATTTGTCTTTGTTTTTTAACTTTCCTTGATCCTTTCTAGGACCAAGAAATTTTCCTTTCTTTTAAAATTTGTTGGAGTTGTCCACATTGTCTACAACATTAGCCTTTGAAGGGCCTTCATAAGAAATTTCAATCTTATTTCTTGCCCTTGATTCTTCTTCAATACGAAGACGTTTTTGTATATCTTCCAAAGGAAAGTTTTCGAAATTGTGAAGAATCTTCTTCCTATATCCTTTCCAAGAACCAAGAATTTTAGCAAAGTTTGGGGAAGTTCGATTTTCACCGCTTTCAGTTTGTTTACAATTAGTTGTAACTTTTGTACTTGAGGCAATAATGGTATATTGTCCAAAAATTTGAAATCAAAATACTTAGATATTAAGAACTTTTTGGTACCTTCCTCCTCGGCTTTGTATTTGCTTTCTAACGCGTACCAGATTTATTATGCCGATGTAGTGTTGGTGTAGAGATCATAGGGGCGATCGGATAATGCATTTAGGATATGGCCACGATATATCAATTCGTCCTCTTCCGATTTCTTCCTTTCTACACGAATTTCTTCAGTATCCTTGTCAGTTGCAATGGGAACGGGCTCCAATTTTGGATCAAGTACATCGAAGATCTTCAAGGCCGTTAATAGAAATTTAAGTTTGTCTTGCCATCTTGTGAAATTTGCACCATCGAATCTGTCCAAGCGTACTAGGTCTTGCTTCATCATTTTGATAGCAGCAAGTGTAGATTCCGTCTCCATTACAATAATAGTAATAAGTAATGTTTGAGATTGTTGGAAAAATAATGACAATGGAGAAGAAAATTATAAAAGGATATTAATAAAGGCTTGAACACGAAATTAATCTCTCAAATCTTATTTGCCTCCTTTCCAATGCTTTTTAAGGATTTTCGGCAAATTGTTTGTAGGATTAAACAAGCCTTAACACGAAGAACACCAAAAAAGTAAAAGTGTTTCTTCACAATGAACAAGTTAAAATGGAAGGATTATGTGATAAATTTTCTCAATATTGGAAGTGTAGTTGAGGATAAATTTTAATGAAACTCAATATATTTTTTCTTGCATTTGGATCACCTATTTATAGGGCTTGGCAAGTTTTTCACGAAATGGTGCAAAACAAGGATGAAAAGCCACCAATTTCAAATAAAAAACGGTCAAAAAACTAACATAACGGTAAGTTTTTTATAACCATCCAACCGCATGGGCCCATGCTATCGCTTAACCCCCCCCCCCCCCCCCCCCCCCCCCCCCCCCCCCCCCCCCCCCCCCCCCCCCCCCCCCCCCCACTGTTTTTTTTTTTTGAACAACAAACAAATAAATTTCCAACACATTGTTCATACGGGAAGTTCATCAATTGTCATCGCAAAATAAGTTAGCCTCCCTATATATTATAATGGAATGATATATTTATCGAAACATGATAATTTCTTGAACTCCAAACAAAATGCTGAGAAAATTACTATTGATCTAGTGCTACGAATATACAATATGATAATTTACTGATGCAAAGATCAAATCGAACCACGGTTGCAGAGATTGTAACCCGATATGACAGAACTAATGGCGAAGGCAAGAAAAGCCACAAACGACATCGCAACAGATGCACTGGCGAACAAAGTGAACTCGTCTTGTCCCCAATTCAGTATCCAATCATCCACCCGGGTAGCTGCCGAGGATGATGCTGACATTAGAAGATAAGCCAGTATCTGCCAAACACGAATAAGAGTGCCGTTTTAGAAAAAACACACATGATAAATTGGTGGGTCATTCAAAGAGTAGAAATCGGTGAGTGTGGTAAAGTTTTTCCACAATACTAGGGGATTTGGGTTAGTGAAATTCGATATGGTCATTCAAATTTTTCATATAATGAAAGTTTTCGACAGCCCATAATAATAATAATAATAATAATAATAATAATAATAATAATAATAATAAAATCCTACAGACAAATAAAGGGAATGTGTCTTAATTTCCGATCACTAATTAGGCTCCATAAAATTCAATAACTTCAAATGGGAATGAGTGCTTGTGCAATTGCCACTTTAAAACCACATACAAATTTCTACATTGTTTACAGATATCATGTGAGAAAATTACTCACCTGATCCATCGAGAAATCGAAATGGTATCGTAGATAATCAGAGATGACGTGATTTCCCGTGACCAAATGATAGGCCAGATCAACTGCCTGAAAACCGGCATAAACGAATCCAACAACGTTCACTAATAGACAATACCTGTGTCACAAAACAACATAGATAACTAGTTTGTATTGGAATAATTAGGAAGTGAACTTGGTAAGATTTATCCATTATTACACATCAGAGTCACAATCCCTAGGCATTAAGTAGACTTTATCTTGGACTTCATCGAAGAGACGAAATGAAGTAAACTTGTAACTCTTTGAAGCTAAAAGTCTAGAAACAAGTGGACTATGTTCATCGAGTGCTTGTGGGTGAAAACACATTTTTTCGCACTTGTTTGATTTACCAACACTAAAATGTCCATCTCTTAATCTAGTTTGTCTTCTGTGAAATCAAACCTTGTTTGATTCAAAGACACGAAAATGTCAATCTCTTTAATCTAGTACTTGTTCTGCGAAATCGCACCTTGTTTGATTCACTAACACGAAAGTGTCCATCTCTTTAATCTAGTATTTGTTCTACTAATAGCGAAATTCCCTTGGAATTTTCTTCTTTCTTTTTCGGGTTAAATGAAAAGAAAGAAAAGTTTCTGTCACCACAATTCGTGGCAAAGGCCGTGGTGATATAAAGTTCAAGCTTCTAAGATAGAAAATCAAGAGTCAATAGACAACAATTTTATTATTAATGAATATAACCAAATCTTAATTTCATAAACAATACGATAAAGAAAAAAATATATTTAGAATCAAAACAAAGATTCTTACCTGTACTCTTTATACCGATCAAATGAATCGCCACTCCACCCTTGAGTTTTATCGGCAGCCATTACCGTGAACGAAATCAAACAAGCTATCACTTCGAACACTCTAAAAAACAATGCTACTTTCCTCACTTTCAACTCGGCCTTCGACCTCTTCAATATCGCCTCTACCGCCTCCCTCTCTCCACCCACTTCATCCTCTCCACCACCACCACCACCTCCACCTCCACCTCCACCGTACCCCTCCTCCATCCCACCAATGTCTACCCTCACTTTTTCCACCTTCATCACTCCCGGCTTGGGTTCATCCCTTACATTCAGGTTAATCACCGGTACCGGTGGATTACGTGCACCACCCAGACCGTTCTTCGCCTGAAATTCAAGATTCTCCGACCCGCGATTCCCTTGAGTAGCCGGAAAATCAAGATTTTCCGGCGTGGGCCTTTCTGAATGGGGCCAAGGCTTAAATCCCTTCTCTCTAACAGCCTGAGAACTCGTCGGTAAATTGGGATTTCCGGGCGGCGATGGAGTGTCAACAACAACAATAGCTCTATCATCTGAACGAACAGGTGATTCAGATGGTAAAGAATGAAACTCGTGTTGACTCGTTGCTGAATCAGTATCGGACATTGATGTATGACTACTGCTTCTTTTCAAAGATTTACTTGAATTTTCCATTAAATTTTGCTCTTAAACTACTCTTATTATTCGGAAGAAGAAAATCAAAGAAGAGGACGAGAAAGAAAGAGGAAAAAAGGTATTTTGGAAAAAGAAAAAATAAAGTGAAAGATTTTTTTATTTTTATTTTTAAACTCCATTATTAAGGAAACTCTACAGTGGCATTGATCATCAACTTCATGCAAGAGAATAATTTTACAAGGATTTTATTGTATGCGGGGAAGACCATGAATTTTCGTTCGAGGTGTAGTTTTCTAACGCGGCGATTTGTGGTTCATCAAGTTAGATTCTCCACAAATCATTGAGGAATCAATTATTTCCAAGGATTCCGTTTTTCTCCTCCCTTTCATTAATCGTCCCTAAGGTACATGGTAATTGAGATACCCACCTGAAATTTTTGAAATGTCAATATGGCCTCCCCTATTTGGATTTTCATGTATACAAGTCATGAATTGATCATTAGTGATTAGTCGTACCACTAATATTTTCCCTTCTTTTTCATAATTAAGCAATTTTTTATCGAGCAAATAAAATGCATACAAGAGTCCTTCAAACGAATGTATACAAGAGATATACAATAAAGCGACAAAAGTAATCATAATGTTAATTTATCGAAGCCACTGATATAGATTAACATTGTCGAGGTGTAAGACTAATTTATGTAATCCTCAAGGTCATAAACCGGTATCAAGTGAAAAATGTTTGCTAGTTTGATTTTGGTAATTGAAGAACTAATTATTAAACCTCCGTCCGGATAAAATTTTATGAATGGTTCATAATTTTAACTACATTCGTAACATTAGATCCACTATCATTCTACTTATTAGTTATTATTCCTTTTTATAAACTAAATTTGTACCTTAACACAAAAACCGAAAAAGAAAATCAAAAAATTCTAACTTAATTAACTTCAATTATATATCAAGTAATTAATCGATTATTAGTGTGCTCTAATGAATAGCTTAATAGATTGGAAGTTAAAATTAGTAATTCCTCCACCCTCCAAAAAATATGAAAAAAATAAATAAAATGAAATGACAAGGGTTTCCATGTATATGTATAATATCTTTTGCGACTTGGTAAAAGCTTTCTTTCATCTTCAACTTGATTTTGAGTTGCTATCAACCTCACTAGATGAAATCTTCGATACAAAAAATTTATTACACACCTTTCTTTTTTAATGCTATTTAGTATAAATAAAATTATCGCACCAAACACTAAAGTTCTAATTCCTTAGTTGGGAAGTATAATTTTCTTGGCCTCTCTAAAGGTGCAAATACACGTAGAAATGATAGTTAAAAGTAAGCACTACTACTTTTGCATTTACTTTTTGTATGCCCATACAAAATTTCTTTGCTCCTTCTTCTTTATGCCTTTTTGTGTGATAATCTCTATGGTCCAAGTGTCGAGCATTCTTATTTTTCTTGAATCAATCTTTTATGGCTTTTCAAAAGTGCTTATGCATTCTTAGACGAAGTGGGACGACTTTATTGGTGGTAGGCGTCTTCCGAGCTTCTACCTCAACCGTGTAGAGAACCAACAATATGCAATAAATAAATATTTTATACACCATATAACATGGTAAAACTCAAAAAAATATCCTACGATTTTATGATTTTAGAAGAATAGAACCAAACTCGAAAGTCTTACACCACTACTACAATTTTATGATTGTACATGAAAACTTCTAAAAATCGGAATAATAACATTATTCTTATCTTCATAAGAACTGCCCTTTTTTTTTCTTTTTTTTTCCTATAGTGAATACCAGAACGTACAATAGATGATGTCTTTAAAATCCTGAAGCATCAAGTGATCATTTGATTTTGTGCTAGTGTATGGTACTGTGAACAAATAATAAAGTAATGGATAGGATATCGTTCCCATGAAAACCACGTACTTAACCTAGTATCAGTTAGTATTAACTCTGATCAAATAGTTTAATTTGTTTGAAGAAATTATACTAATTAACCAATTAAACTAATTATTCTAGTGAGCAAATTAAGGAACTTTCGTAAATTAAGTTGAAATATTACTAAAGTTTTGAATCACCCTTATTAATTCCTTCTAATGCAATTCAATAACATTTCAATATGTGCACATTCTTATTATCAATGTTCCTAAATTAATTAAAAGTTCAATTAAAACTATAATTTCATTTGACATTTCTATATTTCTATGAAAGATGCTAAGGTGAAAACATATATTAAAAACATTAGAATATATATAAAAATCATATAAAGCATTGTTGTATATCTCTATCTTCTATCCAATTTTAAAATGATGTTATAACATGCTATCTATCGTATTTCTCTCTGGAGAACAATAAAATTCACACAATATTCCAATTATTAGCCAATTAATTGAAAAACATTAAGTTCTATGGCAATCATTCAAGAATAAACACATATTGAACATCAATTTATCGAATTTATATTAAATCATCATAATAAGGATTCATCCATATTTTGGTAATTGAAACCATAGCCTAACATTACAAAATAAGCCCTTGTTTGTGTCTCATTCTTTTGAAAAAAATGTATTTTTTGACAGTGTTTTGATATCATTTCAATCACACATTTTTCAATAAAATAATACTACATGCAAATTCAAAGTTTTTTCTAATTTTTTAACAATACATTTTCTATCAATAGACTATTCAAAAATTAATTCTTTCCCCCCAAAATAGGGCTCAAAAAAGGGCTAAATATTAAAAAAAATATCAATTTAATTGGAGAAAGAAAATCTGAATTATGAATAAATTGAAAGAAAAAAGATGAAAATTGAAATTTTGAATCTCTTCAATGATTTTGTTATGAGTTATGTGCAAGATAATAACAATAATGAAATAAACAAGAATAAACTAAATATACCGCTATTTATGTAAAAACCTAAGATGAGAAAAAAACCACTGGCACATGAAAATAAATTCACTATAATCAGTAATAATTGTGTTTACAATTCAATCTCAATACTCCCAATTAAGATTTGAAACTCTTAAAATGTTGTATGAGTATTATGAATACAATACAAATTGTAACTCATATATGTAAACCATTGTAATCAAGTTGTAAATGAATAGAAGTCAAAAAACGCGTCAAACGCGAAATGGACTTGGGCCAAATAACCATGTCCCTTGAGTGACAGGCTAATGATAGGTGAGCGACAGCTCCACAGCTCGAGTGCCAAGTGAGCAACAAGTCTATTGAGAAAATATGCAAGAGTCGCTCGAGAAGCCAACTAACTGTAAGCTAGCAAAAATGCAGCGACTTTTCTTCTCGATCCATAATTTTGATCTCTTTAAAACTATTTCAACCAAAACTCCAATACCCACTACAATTCGGGTCAAACTCCAATAGATTTCTTGATAAATCTCCAATTGTATCTCCTCTTCTTTGTTCAATGACCAAGGTTCTTTAATTCTCTTTTGAACAATGAAATTGACATCTCTTTAGTTGATGATAATTGATGAATAATGGCGTATGAGAGATATTCATGACTTGATGAATGATTATGTTGACTATATATAAGGCTCAAAAATTAGATGAAAATCACGTCAAAATTCAATTCCAAGAAGAATTTGTGTCAATAAAAGAAAAGACCCTTGCACGCCCAAGGGTTGTCACAATGGTTTTCCCTAGAATATATTATTAAATCCACAAAGAAAATTTTAACTATCTTTGATGTGATGGTAAAGTCAATACGGAAAGCTCTCTCTCTCTGTGTGTATATAAATATATATATATAAAATTCCTGGATATCTTATTCCCCAATAAAATGGCAAATATATTAGAAAATATTAATATATAAATAATAATTTTAACATAAAATTGGATTACGTAGTAAAAATAAAATAAAAAATAATAATGCTAAACTTAAAGAGTGAAATTTCAATTGGACAAAAATTACGGCCGTCACAAATTATATGAAAGCTCGAAATTATGAAGAGACAAAAATAAATAAATAAATAAATAAATATTGGTTATGAATCTACAAATTCTTTCATTACAATTGTTACAAGAACAGAAACTACTTGAGGATACGAGGAAACCAGAACTCAGAGAGAACCGCGAAAAACAGTTCAAGGTCGAGGTGTGGCAGAGTGTTCAACCAGCAAATGCACAGGCTCCGTATTGTCTTGGCTATGAGTTGCAACATGAATGTCATTTTCCTTATTTCCTATGCCGTCTGTTGTTGAAAAATAATAGCAAATAATAGTATTATCGTAATTTCTATTTGGGCAGAGTAACGACGTTTGGATGGTTTTGAACGGTCGAGGCAAGAGTTCGACTCTTTCTCCTTAAAACGATAATGTCCCGCACTGGTACTAACGGTATTGCAGCACTCGTTTCCCAAGATACAACGACCTCGTCTTGTAATTGTAGTACTCCAAATTACAAAACCCGACGAACTCGTAAAGTTTAGATCTCTCCACACACACTGGATGAGTGAAATGCACGAAAAGTAATTTTCGAGGACTGAATTATAAAGGCAGAAATTATGCAGGGACAAAGGGATAATTTCGGAAGAGTAGAAAATCAATTCTGATTTTTGGAATGAATAAAAACCGGGGTATGGGGGCCTATTTATAGATGTTGAAAGGTTGTGTCCCAACAGACACAATTGTCGAAAAGTTGTGTCCAAAAGACACAAACTGTTTGGACAGTCAACCGGCACTTTGGACAGTCAACCGGTTAAATTCTAGAAGTACCGTACCACGTGTCACGCACAGAAAATTCGGAGAAGAAAAAATTAATAACATAAAATATATTATTATTATAATAATAAAATAATAATATAATTAAATGTTATTTTACCAAAAAATATATATTAGCTTGGCCAAAGCCCAAGACCCACGACCCACGACCCGTGATCGTGCCGAGCCGGCAGGTCGGACGGATGACGGCGGCGGCGCGCGCGTGTGGGCTTTGGCTTAACCTATTAGTATGTATGTTCTCTCCTCTTCAAAGACTATTGGTACCCCTTGGGGCCCAAACTCAAGTCCCAAACTTGAGATATATAAGGTGGTTTATATTCTTCTAGTTTTCCTATGTGGGATTGGAATTTTCCAATTTTCCACCTATTTTATTTCAACATCAAGTGGGCATCTTTTGACCTTAATTTCTCATTCACCCTAAATTGGTTTTGAGAAAATAAATATACCATATTAATCTACTCATGGAGTAGAACACATTTGGCCAAAGAAATCTTATTTCCGATTAACGGGACCCACTAAATTAATTGGT